TTGTGTAGAATTCAACCACCTGGGGCGAGAATCAATAAATAAAACAAAAGACAGCCGCAGAGCTCTGAAGGCGGCTCAGAAGCGGCGATGACTGAAGGTCCTGCAGCTGCCTCTCGTCAGGAACCTCGTTCGCAGGTGAAGGATAAGCTGCCCATGAGAGCTGCGGAGGCTCCTGAGAAGCGTCCGTCCCGGCCTGGTGTCCGTCTGGACGCTCCTGCGATCTGAGAGCAGCGATTCTGAGGGGCTGCGTCGCCCCGAGTGACAGGTCGATGATGACTGTGATACAGCCGTCAGGCCGCCTGACGACGCGGCGGGTGCGGCCCGCTCCTCCGCGGTACTCCTGCGGCAGTCTGAGCAGAGATCGTGAACTGTTTTGGGGGGGGGGACAGATGATGCACAGCATGGGGGGTGGCGCTTTTAGACTTTCATTGCCTCCGTCTGGGTGAGGACATTAAGGTTCGGTTGAGGAAAGTGGGGAGGGGGCCAGTCAGAGAAGCAGTCAGAAAGCGGTCAGATCGTGCCGCCTCTGCTTACCTCCCTGTTGGCCTTGCGTGGGGGGGAGAGTTAGGGGGATAGCGGAGGCTTACGTCTGGGAAGGAGCCCCTGGGTCCGGTCCAGCCCAGGCCTGGCGGCAGCGCAGGGCACTCCGAGCCAAACCAGCGGAGATGGCGGCGGGAACAATGTCCTGCCAGATGAGCGATGAGAGCCCCAGGGGGTGTCTTACCATCAGCCAGCCAGCGCCCTGCCAGCGCTTGGCGAGCCCGGTGTAATGAGGCATACTCTCCTACCCGTCTGCCACAGGCACTTGTAAAGAGTTAGGGTGGGATGATGGGAAAATTCAGCTGCACAGACTCTAAAAACGCAACTCTGCAATGTAGGGCAGCTTTAACTTTTTTTTTAAAGCTTCGAAAAGTATGGCGTTATGGGGGTTAATGTATAGCAGCAATGGCCGGGTCGCTCCTGAAGCGATGTTCTGCGGTTCCCTGGGGACGACGCCCGGGGACGACGAGCTTGACTCCTGCTCCAGCAGGTATTGTAGCTGCTTTGCCAGTTGGCTTGTGGTATCCCTGTTGTGCAAGAGACGGGTGGAAAATCCAGTACCGTCTACACGCCTACCCCCCCCCCCCCCCCCCGCCGCCCCCAAAACAAACCAATAGGCGGCACCACGTTTCACTGTGTTCCCACAGCCACCCCCCCCAACCACAGATGCTGTTGCAGAACTGCCAGAGGAATCCCTTCCAAAAAAAACACCGAACTCCACCTGCTACATGGTGTAAATCGCTTCCCGGTGCGTTTCCCACCCAAAGAGCGCAATGTTAACCTCGTCTCATATTTTCTCACCCAACTGCCCCCCCCCCCCCCACCGATTGTCCATCATCTCTGTCACGATCGCATGCTTTCAAGTGCCATTGTGCCGTGGGGGGGGGGGAGGCAGTAACTGCCCCATTTTAATGAGGCCACCAGATGGGCACCTTCGCTGCTCTGCCCCTGTACACAGAATCACATGACCTTTGGCCCGACCCCGTCAATGAAGCCAGTGTGAAGCTGAGACACTCGGTCTTCCTGCTGAAGTGTGGGGGAGCCAGCAGTTGGTGTGTAAGTACAGTCACATGTAGGTACCTGCACACACTGGGCAATTCAATTATACTTTAGTGTAGGGGTGGGGAACCTGATCCATGGAGGGCCGGTGCAGGTTTTTGGGATGGTCTCTCAATCAGCCAATAATAAAGCAGCGGTTCTCAACTCGAGTCCTGCAGACCCACTGTTATTGGCTGATTGACCCAATAACCCACTGTTATTGGCTGATTGAGAGGCCATCCCAAAAACCCTCACCGGCTCTCCATGGATCAGGTTTGCCAGCCCTGCTTTAGTGCAATTGATGGTTAATGAATAAATTCATGTTTTTTATATATCCATACATACACACATGCATATTTATATACAATGTTGGGCAGTCAAATGTTTAAGGCTATTTATCTGGGTAGAAAAGCATATTTGCTCACAAAAAACAACTTAACATTAGAACGTGCAAATGAACAGTAACATAACTAACTAGAGTTTCTTCTGTTCTCCAAAACGTTACTGGATGGCTTCAGTTCCCAAACCTCTCCTCAGGGGCAACTCAGCCATTCCATATATCCGTAAAATTTTACCACCAGCCGAATTAATTATTAATTATGTAAATACCTAAATGAGATATTCATTAGCCAAACAAGGTGTGCTAGTGGTCAGATGAACATGCTCGGGTGTATCGGACGGTCGCTGCACATACTGGGCTGACTTCAGCACGTTTGGCTACGCTCACACACTTTCACAGACACCGTAGTTTTGCACCAGCATGAAGGTCATTTAAACATTTTCTTTGACTGCCTAAGACTTTCGCATCATACTGTAATTACTGTCATTGGGACCTGAGCGCGCTGACGATCAACACGCCTTCCATTTTCCATTTCCCAGTTCAGGCACTATCCTTACTGGGATTTTTTTTTTTTCTTTTTAAAGATGTTAATAATGGCATCTTTCCCCTAATACATCTGAGAATTGTTTAAAATGAGGTCACACACAATGTACCCCCCCCCCCCAATTACCCCAGACAAAAGTATGAATGAGGTCTCAGCGCAGTATCTGACATTCCAAACCAAGCGGCATGTGATGGCAAAGGTATGCGGAGCTGTCCACGTTCCGAGCCGGCCTCTGTCCCCGGGTGATCACCAACTGGACCTGTAGGCCCAGAAGCACCAGCGATCCCCCCCCCAGCCTTGGCATGGTGGTGCTGTAGGTACCTGGAGGGTGGGGCTGGAGTGGTAGCTGTGGGGTGGGGGTTGGATACCTGCTGGAAGGTCATGGGATGACGATTTGGCTAATGAGGCACGTGTGGTTGAGGGATCATAATGAATTGTGTAGGCAGCAGCAGATCAACCTGATTAAACATCCGGGGATGAACTGAAACTCCAGAATTAGGTCAAGGTCCAGCCCTCTTCAGAAATACTTTGCGTCTAGTGGAGCACGACGATTCCTGTTTTCTACCAGAGCTTGGTAGAACATTTTTTTTTATAGGCTTGTACAGGGGTGGAGCCAAAGGGGCACTGGCCCTAGCTGAAAACTGATTGGCCCTCAGGGTGCCCCCTCTCCTGTCACTCACTGATTCGAAACACATCATTGGCAAGTACGGTTGTCCCCTATGGATCGTGGCCCCTCTTATGCCAGCTGTTTTTGCATCAAGAAAGTCATTAAATCTGAAAGCGCCACAACAGGCTGTAAACTAACCGGCAGCATTTGTGAAAAGGCAGAGAGCCAGCAGGTGCCGGCGATGTGGGCCATTAGTGTGGATGTGCAGCATCAGTCTGGGGGTCACCCTGGGAGACCCCCGCTTCCCTGGCGTGACCCCGGACCGCAGCCGCTGTTGCCGGTCACCGCGGTTTCCCGCTTCACACTCGCCCATCTTCCGAAGCACGTCTTCGGTGTGCGAGTGGCGTGCACGTGCGTACGTGTGCATGCCAGTGACTGTGTCACTTTCTCAGGGGAGGGGCTGCCCGACCGACCTCTTACTGGGTGGGTGTTTTGCTTCCACACAAAAAGCTGCTGGAGAATACTAAAAACCCCCCTTTACAAACCACCACATTCATCAACACTCAGACCCTTCCCCCCCCTCCCGATTCAGCCTCTTAATTCCCGTGTGTGTACTTCTTCCCCCTCCCCTCCCCCGTCCCCCCACAGGCCGCAGGGAGGTTAAAGGGCTACTGTGTCACTTATGCAAAAGGTCTGGCAACACCTCCAGTCCCAGATTGCCGCTTTGCTGGTTTCTTCATTAGCTCGCCTATATATCAGACTGGAGTCGTCCGCACGCTGAGTTCTTGGCGTTTAGATTAAAATACACGCTCAGTCAAACCGCCACCTTTTAAAGAAGTGTTAGTAATTACTTGGTACCCTGTGTGTGTGAGGATCTGGGGGTGTTTTGCGTCAAGAACTCCCTCGAACAATGGAAGCCTTTCTCACCCAGTGTCATTCAAATCCGTCCAATGGTTGATCTTCTCGGTTGACCTGAATTGGTCAGCTGAGGCCCGTTCCCTGTAATCTGCTCAGCCAGCCAGTGCTGGCCTCTGAGCCGTCGCGCTCTAGGCGTCATCGGCATACAGGTATTGCTTTTCTTTCTTGGAAAACAGATGGCACTTTCAGTAGTGGAAGCCACAGCAAATGAGACAGAAAGTAGGAGACGAGAGCAAGAGTTTCTTTGGGAATATGTGAATCATTTCACCCTTTTTGGTCGCAGTAATGCCGCCTGTGTTTGTGTCTACTTACTTGAATGGTGGGGGTGTGTTGTGTATTGTTACGGTACATGAGAAGCGCCTGCGTGTGTGTCTGTCCTGCCACCAGAACTCGGTGCCCTCACACGCCTGTGCGACGGGTTCGTGTCGTCAAGCTGCCTCGAACACGCTCAGACAGGTCGCATTAAACCATCCCTATTTGTATCAGACTGGTTTCGGACAGGGCGGAGAGCAAAAAAAAAGCAAAAGTGGTTCAGGAAGCTGTCGTTTGACTTTCAGCCTAACCGCGCCTCGTGCGACCATGCGGGCATTCCCACCGTCATTCCCAAGGTTACTGGTTCAGCAAAGGTCACCAAGCCCTCTTCTATACAGGTAATTCCAGTCCTGGTAAAGTCAGTTTTAAACAGAAGACAAGTTTGTACATTACAGGGGTGCGCAGGTCTGTGTCAAGCAGAGGTTTTCAGGGCTGGTGGTGATTAGCCGTTGGTAATTAGCCGTCCAAGGAAACACCGTAATTAAGAAAACAAAAAAGCAATGCAGCACGCACATGCTGCCTGGCGTTCTGCACCACTAGCATATAAGTACTGTTTTTTTGTTAGTTTATTTAGCAAATAATGAAGCTAAGCATAATACTGAATTGGGATCATGTATGACATCATAAGCACCATATGAGCACCATAAAGGTTCTTGGGCTGGTTGATTGTGTATGTGACCCTCCCCCTGCTTTGCCGGCAGCACGGGGACCAGGGAACCGGCTGTCCCGTCATGTGCACGCGATCGGACCCCGATGGGCAGGTGTTCCCCAACAAGGACGCCCTGAACGGCCAAGACGGCACAGAGTTCAACGCGGACGACGCAATGGTGGGCCCTAAGGACTCTGGGACCAGCAGGGGAGGGAGGCCTGGTGACAAGGACGAGACTCTCCGAGGACTTTTTGTGCCCAAAGAAAAGTCAGTACCACTCCAAGAAAACCTCAATTTTCTTGGGTCATGCTCGGGTGAGATTCATCACCGCCGTTGTCCCGCGTCCTGTGTCGTGAGCGCTACCGTTCTCGCAGGTGTGCTGCGACAAACCCCTCGGTGACGTCTGAGGTGTCCACGCGCTCCCCTGCTTCCCTGAATGAGGAACAGTTTGAGGACTACGGGGTCGGTGAGGACGTGGACTTCACCCCCAGCAGCCCATGTCCAGATGACGAGACGCGCACCAACGGATACTCTGACCTGGGCTCCTCGGTGCCCTCCAGGTTGGTGTGCAAGCACGCACACACAGATGTTCCTGGAGGCTCCTCGTTCATTTCTAGGAGCAAATCCCTAATCCTAACATGACAACCATAACCCCAATCCAGCCCTGACTTATGGATAAAGTAACTAAACAGAACACAAGACTTTTGGCATTTTTAGTTTTTTGATTGCAGTCAGATTTTTATAAAATGAAGTTTGTTGCCCCCATAATGTCAAACAGGTTGTTTGTGGGAAAATTTGGTCTCCACAATATAACCTATACATGACCCCCCACCCCCCCCCACTCCTGAGTGACACTCTCTCACACACACACACACACACACACACACACACACTCCTGGGCCAGTCCAGTGTCATCAGCCCAGGTACATTCTTCCTTGAGTAACTGGAGAAAACCAGAAAACAGACACATGGAAGATGTGCTTCAGTCCAATACCCCGTGAAACCTTCAGACAGCGGCTCTGCCTTCTGAGCCTTTCGTGTGAAAGCAGCGTGTCTTATAGACACTGACTAATGGCACTCTGGGGAGTTTGAATATCTGCTGCTGAAATGGCTTAGAATACCCAAGGTCAGTTGAAACCTAACTGACAAGGTTAAATTTAGCGCATCACAAATGATGAACATGCTGGTACAAGTTAAATATTACACCTTAGATTGCCAAATCCCCCTCCCCCACACACACACACAATCGCTCCCCCCCCCTCCCTCGTAACCAAGGACGGCGTATCCCTGCACTGCGTGGCTCAGAAACCCTTTTCACAGCTGACCGCCTCCCAGTTTCTCCCCTCCTTCAGCTAGTTAGGCCTCTAATCCCACCCTAACCTCCTAACTGGTTTGTTTCGGTGTGTAGCCATACAACATGCCCCCACCACTTTTGACTCTTGAACAAACCGAATGACGAACAAACAGCTCAGAAGAATGAAACTGTAGATTAGCTTGAGTATTCGTTTCGGTTTTTCCAGTCCGACCAATTGTGCTGGGTTCTTTTTTAGAATCACCGTGACCTGCTGTGCATGACTGATATGAGAGAGAAGTCTTATTGTTGGAAATGATGTTAGTTTTTTTTTTTTTCTTCTTTCCTTCGCACAATCTAGACATGGGCTTTCACCTTGCAGGATCTCAGCTGGCACATCTGAGAGCCCTGCACTCAAACAATGGCATAAAGTTGCCTAAAATATCAACGTTCATAGGGACAGTGTCACAGTTTCTGTTTCGTGATGAAATATGTCCCTGTTGGCGTCTCAGAATTGCTGACATGTTTTCGAACGGCAGATGCGATTCAAATACTCCGTTCGTCAGCAGTGCTGATATCTTCGTACCTTCTGGGTACTGCCTCCCCTGACGTGCTGATGGACCTCCTTACGTCCCGTCTATTGACAGGAAGGACGAGGGAGCTATCGTTCTCAAAAGTGCACCGTCATACCTTCTGCTCCGTTGTCAGTCTCTTAGTTTCTGAGCATCCAGGATAGGCTTTGCGTGGGTGGGGGGGCTGGCAATGCGGAGCCAGGCAGCCTGTGACTTCTCTCCCGACCACCTCCCTGCTTCCTCTCCGCAGCGCCGGCCAGACCCCTCGCAAGATGAGGCACGTATACAACAACGAGCTGATGGACGTCTACTGCTCCCAGTGCTGCAAGAAGGTCAACCTCCTCAACGACCTGGAAGCACGGCTCAAGAACCTGAAGGCCAACAGGTGGGGAGTGTGGGGGGACTGGGTGGGTGCGGGTCACCTGAAACGGCACCTGGGCACCCCGTCCACAGAGTTGTGACAGCTTGATGGACCATGTGCCCGTAAACACTCGTTCCGGATTACGCAGGAAGCGTCTGCCCACTGACTCATGTTTCATAGCAGATCCCACAATGACTCACAATGTTATGCAATAGATGCCTTATTTCCATTCCTGGCTTCACGTTGGAGATGTGAGAAGGCTGCCTCTGGTGGTTCATTGGATACTTCTAGTCCTCCCTGGCATTAATGATTTACTCTGTCAGCTTAGGCACGACAATAAAAGGGAGCCGGCCGGTAATGCCCTCCAGTGTCTGGCTGAGCGACCACACCGTCAAAATTCGATTCCAAATTCCTAACCCACATCTGCCTCCCTCACCCTTCGTTTTATCGCAACCGTCCTGTTTGGGGAGGGGGGTAATTCGATTTTTGGAGAAGCAGTTGCCATGGCAGCAGAAAATTGTGACATGGGCATGCAGGAGAGATTTGACCCTGCTGCAGTTTTTACTGCTTGAGGAGCCTCGCTGTTTATTATTATAATAATGGTCGATGCCTTCATGCAAAGTGACCATGAATTTTGCTGAAATTATTCAGATCAAGCACCTTTCTTAAGGGAAGAATAGAAAGCCCCCCCCCCCCCCCCGGGACCTGAAGGTTTGTGATTGGTGTCCATTTACCACAACGTAACCTAGAGATATGATTAAAAACCTTCCAGGGAATTAAACCTTACTATCATCAGTAAATATCCAGCAGGCAGATAAAACTCTACACTGCAGTGGAGTAGTGGCTGAGCTAATAAATGCAGGTGGGGGGGGGGGGGCAGGAAGTCAATGAAAAGAGAGGACTCGCTCTCCTCATGTTCTCCCAGGGTTACCTGTCCGGAGCATCTTCTCACAAAGAATCTCGACAGCAGTTCCAGTCAATTGTGAATGGACAAATCACCATTACAGTCTCTGGGCTAATGTTGGGATTATTTGATGCCATCCTTCACAGTTGGAGGTGAGATCATGCTGCGGTAAGGGAGCCAGGAGGGAGCGCGGCGTTATGCCCTTATCTAACGCTCAAGCTGCTGGTCTTCACAGCAGACTCCATCTGAACCTTCTTGCCAAAGTACCTTGTCAGCCCCTCAAGGACAAATGAGTCTCTCTCTGCTCGTTGGTTGCATTATTGACACATGTCTTCCTGACATTTTGAACCTGGGGGATGTTGGCCCATAATGAGTAGCCCCAAGCACAGTGCAGTGGCACAGTCGGCTTACTCTGTGGATAAGAGGTGTTTGCAGTGGTTTTCCTCTAAGCTGAACATAACGGTGCAGTCATTGTGAGCCGCACCCATCAGCACTTGTTAGCGCTATTTTGGCTTTTCCTGTGTGACATTAATGTACAGTGAGTGACTGCATCTATGTATGTGCAGCAGTATATATTCAGAATGGTACACATGCAGTGTTCTCCAAAAATTCAGAAGCTCTGATAAAACCCTGGTATCCCTAAAGACTTGGTCTAAAGTAGGTCAGCAGGAGAGGTGGATAGGGCTGAAGGTGAGAGAATGAACATCAGCAGGAGAGGGTGGGCTGGTTGCTGAGTGGGAGGCGGGCGGGGGTTGTGTTTCCAGTGAGAGGAAGCAGCCGTCTGAGTGCACTGCTGGGTGGGGAGGACCAGTAACGGTGATCCAAGCCGGAGGAGCCTCACTGCAGCCATCGCAATGTGTGTGACTTTCCTGGTCTCTCTGCAGTACGTGTGTCTGCAAATGAGTCCTGCACCAGTACAAGCACAGATGCAACGATCCCTAAAATAGAATCGGGACAAATGCTATGCTAAAAAAACACTTGAGCTATGAGGAAACTGGTTACCTTATTCTCCCGCTGCAATTTCATATAGCATGTCATTCATCATTGAAGTGCTTGTCTGTTTTTATAGGTGTGGGGTAATAGGAATCTATTCTCTATCCTTTTTCTTATTTCAGCCCTAACAGAATGATCTCCAGCACAGCATTTGGAAGGTAAGTGAACTCTCATTCGCTTTCACTATTGCCTGGTTAATTATTCACCGTCCCCTGGCCTTAAATGTGTACCTGTTATTGACTCGTGTGATTTAAGGAAAGGCAGACGCTTGCACAAACGCACACATTGCTTCTCCTTTTCTTGCTCGGTGCTGGACTTCCTAACTTAGAAAGAGGAACATTTTTTATTCCGTTGACATTTGACATTTATGGATGAAGTACTAAGTGATTCCGAGGTAGAAATGTAGAGGCTTCAGAGGATATGGGTATTGTGTTTTAAGGTAAGGTTTAGTTGACACACTGCGTGCTTCCTTTTTGATGTTGGCGTAAATCTGCTGGTCTTAGTAATGTCCTGAGACTGCTTCCACTCGCAGAGACTCTTGCAGTTCGTTGAACCAGCATTTACACAGCGCACCAGCGACTCTACATGTGTTTATTCCTACTCCACCTCCAGCCTCCTCCATTTTAGCAATCTGGCTAATGGTGCCCACATATGAAGTCATTGCATTAGTCGAGGAGCAGAGAACTTGCAGTTCAGATGGGCAGGGATTTAAAGCAGCATTTCTATGTGGTCCTCTCGGCCCCCCCCCAGGTGGTACCAGTTTTTGCTACCTCCCAGCTCTTGGTAGTTCAGCAATGTGGACTGTCTGGAGGTCCCCAAGGACCTGTTTGAAAAACACTGTACTGAAGCACCCCCCAGGCTTAATCCTCAGACTCCCAACTGGATGGAGACACAGGCTTAAGTCAATGATTTAGCTGTGAAACCTCTAGCTAGAGGGTTATGACCAACTTAGCTGGTCACAGTGGATGGATGAGGACCTCCTTCGTTTTACATTTAGAGACCAACATCAAGCTTCTTTGGAGATCTGATCGTTTGTGCCTGAGCAAATGTGGAGCTGTTGCTGGGCTACTCCCTTGTGTCTTGGCTGAGCTGTATGCCTCCTTGGTGTCTCACCCAGGCAGCTCCTCCACAACAGCAACCTGAGCAGCAGCAATGGCAGCACGGAAGACCTGTTCAGGGACAGCATCGACTCCTGTGATGCGGACATCACGGAGAAGGTGGGAACGCCGTCGGCCGCATCAGAACGCCCCCCTGCGCTGCTGACACTGTCAGCCAGGGCGGTATTCCACAAAACAGGTGTTCTTGCTTAGCCGGATAACTTGTCAGATTTAAGGTAGTCTGGGCTAAATGTATGTTAACGAAGATAGACAGTTTAGCCCAGACTACCTTAAATCCAAGAAGTTATCTGGCTAAGCAAGAAAACCTGCTTTGTGGAATATGCACTCTATGTTGAGTGCTACTACTCGTGAAACAATTATCCTCAGACTCGTTATGTACTGTATGTATGTACACAGACTGCAGTGATTGTATTGTGTTGTTAGCAGTGATTCTTGCAACTGCAGCCAGATGGTTACTCTGAGGTGAAAATGAGAATTCAAATTTTTATTTAAAACAAATGTATCTTGATTAACTAATTAAGACCACCCTACATTACATAATGCACAGATTTCTAAGCCCTGGGGTTTTTCTTTCCCCTTTTGGTTATAATTAACATCAGATATCAGCACAACATCTTCTACATTTTATAGCAACAGTTGTAAATCACACACTGGGAGGTACTTTGCCTGCAGTTATGGGCAGAAGAGCAGTTTTTATATATGGGTTAATAAAACCGCAAACCATTTGATTTTATTTCCATAATTGCTAAAAATGGAGGCAGATTCATGAGCCTGTTGGCCATTTGATCTATTGTGACCTGAGGAACTGAAATTTGAAATTAGTAGCTAGACAAAACAACTTCCTCCATTGTAATCTAACCTTGTTATGGTGGTGCGGAATGGCACAAGGACGATCCACAAAGCAGCTCTGTAGAACTGGGGTTTCATTAGTCAGATAGAACAATACAGACCACGAGAGGTCTGATCACAGGCAGACAGAAAACAAGAACCAAATCTGGGAGCAACACAGGAACAAATGCAGCAGCACAGCAACTAACACAGGACATGTATCTAAACTGGAGCAAGCACGGAAACGACCACAATGACCAAATGAGGAGCAGAATGAGGGCGGGCCCTTAAATGCACAGATAACGAGGGCGACTTGAGGGGCAGGTGTAGACCGTAAGATTTAACCAAACACTAAGGATGGAACAAGACACAGGTGAGGGTAATTAACACATACTTAAGGGTTCCAGCTCTAGGAGATACCACGATAACAAGACTTACGAAACTGGGGCACAACCAGGAATAAAACAAAGGTACAGAACAAGGAACCAGGCAAAAAAAAAAAAAACGGCAAACATAACAGAAATAAACCAAGAAATAAAATGAAAAACACTCAAACATGATCAGCAATGATGGAAGGAACGTTCGCCTTCTAGCCACACGCTCAGCCCATTCAGCCATGCAGCGGCCTGCGGAACTGGGGAACACGCTATGTCCTGTGAAGAACACAGGACTACACAAAATGGGATGACTGGTGACACGAGCTGGCCAGACAGGGAAACACGTGGCAGGGACAGATCCTAACAAATCTTTTATGCATAAATTTATAAAGCAACAAACTAGCTGGTGTATTATATAAATGGCTGTTAAATCCCTTCCCCTCCTCTCCCACACAAACAGGTGAGCTACTTGGAGAAGAAAGTGACAGAGTTAGAGAATGACAGCCTGATGAATGGGGATCTGAAGTCCAAGCTGAAGCAGGAGAACACGCAGCTGGTGCACAGGTAGACACACCAGGGCAATAAGCTCCTTGCCCCTGTACCCACTACTGGGTCTCATTGAGTGCTCATAAGTTATCAAAAGTCGCACGTGTTTTTGAGGTATGTCACCTCAACGAAAGCGCTTCTTCTGAGTCAAGAACACCTGTTAAATGAATCCACTGCTGAAGTTGCGACTTCATGTATATAGATCTTTTTCTTTTCCTTCTGCTTTTGTCCCAAGGGTTCATGAGCTGGAGGAGCAGATAAAGGACCAGGAGGCTCGGGCAGAGCAATCTATGGAAGAGGAGCTGAAGAGGCACCGTGACGCCTACAGCAAGCTGGAGAGGGAGAAGAACACGGAGATCGAGCTGCTCAGCAACAGGTGCTGCCCGCTCACCCGGCCCCTGGACGCTAGACATGCGGGGCGGCCCGCAGCTGGGCAGGATTGGGCGATCTGCAGCTGGGCAGGATGGGGTGGCCTGCAGCTGGACAGGATGGGGCGATCTGCAGCTGGGCAGGACGGGGCGAGCTGCAGCTGGGCAGGACGGGGCGAGCTGCAGCTGGGCAGGACGGGGCGATCTGCAGCTGGCTGCGCCAGGCTGAAAAAAGCAGGATGAGAATGTCGTAGTTTGGGCTGGGCACTAGCGAGTAGGGTATACAATAGCCGGGAACGGCCACAGCGGCATGCTGTAACGGCTGAGCGTGCAGCTGGGTGTGAAGATCCTAGGATCGAGGATGAGTAGGACATGCATAAAAGGGGGTGTGTCATTTGTCAGTATTGGGCAGGGACTTCCAAGCATGACCTGGCTAAAGGGAGCGTAGCATTGTGCTTGTATTGCATAAGCGAGTGCAGCAGTGGTCCAGGTGGAGCAGGATGCCTGGGTGGTGCCCCTGTTAACTCGGGGCTCTCCCCCCACCACAGACTCCAGCAGCTGGAAGAGGAGAACGGGGAGATGAAAGTCAACCTGTGCAAGCTGAAGTCCCAGACAGAGAAGCTGGATGAGGTGCGTGCTGACTGGCGAGCTTCCTTCCCAGTAGGGTGCCTGGAGGAGAGGCCCGTAATTTGGGGGGACATAACTACCTCCACCAGTACACAGGGCAGATGTGTCCTTAAATAGTGTGGTGCTGCTGTCTCTGAAACATGGATGCTCTGGCTTTGTGTGCCGTTACTAATGTCTCGACACACACAGGTGAAGCCAGAGAAACGTTCCTTAAAATATCCCTGTTAATCAGAACGCTAACCGGCACTCTGTTTGGAACGGGGGAACGTGTGAAAGCTGCTTGTTGACACATCTATTTTGAGTTGGGGAGCCTACCCATGAGCAAACTGTTAGTCTAATTCACGTAACGTGATCATGTGAACCCCCACAGCTCCCAGTGACATGGTGTAAATGCAACATTGTAGAACATCAAGATGATCAGCAAGCTGTTTGGTGTGCTTCTTGCAGCTGCATTAAAATACAACAGAAAATTTGTTCTGGGGAAAAAAAAAAAAGCATGTTGTCCATCTATCTGTTTTCTCACCTGCTCAGAGGAATTGCGGTACTTGGCAGCCGTGGACAACGGCAGTAATTGCCTTGTGCGTGTTTGTGCATCTCTGTGCATGCAGGAGAAGCAGCGAATGACTGACAAGCTGGAAGACACCAGCCTGCGCCTGAAGGATGAGATGGACCTGTACAGGAAGATGATGGACAAGCTGAGGCAGAACCGGCACGAGTTCCAGAAGGAGCGGGAGGCCATGCAGGCTGTAAGATTGCTTGATGTGCACACACGCTTGCTTCTTGCCAACTGCTGTTGGGCTTTTTACTACAGAGACTGTTTCCTCGCTCCCCAGCTAATCGAGGACCTGCGGCGAGAGCTGGAACACTTGCAGCTCTTCAAGCTGGAGGCCGAGAGGCCTGGAAGGGGGCGTAGCTCCTCCTCGAGCCTGTCGGAGTTCAACTCCAAGAGCCGCGAGCTGGAGCTGGAGAATGATAACAAGCGTCTCAAGCAGGTGGGGGCTAATGCTGCAGTTGTCATGGAGTGCCGCTGATGTCATGGAGTGCCGCTGATGTCATGACACCGTAATGGTGACGATTAGGTCATTTACCTGCATATAGTGACTGATGACCTTGTACACTAAGCTGAGACTGCCTGGGCAGCAGCTGATATTTAGTGTCCTGCCCATTCTCAGGAACATTTGTTTAACTGCCTGGTGACAGCTAGTCTCAGAAAGATCATTCACATTATTCATAAGTATTGAGACTCTTTCTTGTAACACACGAAGTACTTTTCTTGCACTTTTTAAGCACTGTATTTTAGTAATATTCATGAAGGCAAGTTGTTTCAGGACACAGATCTTATAAAACCATTATCTATTCAGTCCTTTGTTTTGAAGACTAACACTTGTGGAAACTCAAAAATAATGTCCTGCAGCAGGCATTCCAAAGACATATATATTCTGAGACAACATCTCAGATTTGTACATTGGAATGATTAAAATCTTCTTCAGAAAAGACTCTGACTCCAGGCTGAGGTCCAACCCCCCCATGCACCTGTAACAGGATCGCCTTGACAACAGCCACACACTGGTTTGCTAACAACATAAATCTCTCTCCCCCCCCCCCCCGCCTTTCCAGAAACATGCACTGAAAGGGAAACCATGTTGCCTTATGCTGGCCCTTGTGTCTCTCAGCGATGTAGCTGCTTGGATTGGTGCTATTGAGGGGGGGCAATTGCCATGTGGCATTCACAAGTCTCCCCTCAGTTCCCCTCCGTTTGCGGTCCTCTCAAGCCTGAATGCCAGTGAAGAGTAATCGTACAAGAATGGAACACAAGCTGGGCTGTGGCATTGGCCACGCTTTGTTCCACAAAAATTATGAGCGTCAGAACAGCACATTTGCCCCTCCTGGTCTGACGTCCCGCCCTCTGCTTTTGTTTACCCAGAAGATAACCCCCCAGGACATTTCTTGTGAGCTCCAGCAACTTGTTTCTGCTGGAGCACGACTCCTTCCCAGTCTTATGGTAATGCGTGTTTCCCAAAGCCTCTCTGATCCATTAACCCTTGAATAACACCATCATACATAGAGGTTCATGCAGTGCTTTAAACACTGCATGCCGCCTTGTCCTCGTAGTCGTCCACTGACTCCATGACTTAACAGTGAATAACCACACATTTTTACTGACAGGATGGCATCCCATCAAAAACCCATTGGAGATGGTCAGACAAGACCAGTCATTTGCTTATACCCCTTTTCCACCAATGCAGTGCTGGTGCCATGTTTGGAACAGGTTCCATGCTTTTCCACTGCCAGTCAACTGGCACCATGCCTGAAAAACTGGCTCCAGCCTGGCTAAAGAGAAATGCTGGTCTGAAACTGCGCACCTGTGTCTTCTGCATATGGGGAGGGGCTATAATGTGTTAGAAACTTCAGCAGAGCTACATTTGTTGTTTCCAGTGTTTGATGGTTTGCTTGATTTTAGTGTTGAAAATATGCAGAAATTAAAGAAGAGCTGAAGAGAACAGGCTACATTCGAAGTATGGAGCAAATTATTAACAAATAAAAGAAAACAATACAAAAAAAGGCTACCCAAACTACAGAAAAGAACTCCCATGAAGTGGCGAGGGATGGCAAAAGCTTAAGTATCCCATCACTGTTCTGCATTCATTGTTCCTAGGAAGCCTTCAAAGTGCAATTGCAGCACATTTCCTTATGGATACACACACAAAAATTGGTGCTTGCTGTCCCAAATATATGTTTGAGAGTATATGTAGTCAAATAACTGGAGAAATTGAAGTTTTGGATGAATTGCATCTGATTGAATCTGGGGACTATTGTGTCCCAAACTCCAGGTGACATTGTCTGCACAGCAAAAAAGCAGCGAATATTTGGTTATAAATATTAATTAGTAATGCTGCGTACTGTAGCTAGCCAATGTTTCATTAAAAAGAATGTTTTGGCTAAAGCTAACTATGAACGAGAGCTTAAGTTGGCATTAGCCTAAACGTTCTCCATCAGAAAACATTATATTTACAAACTCAAAAATGTTACATACCCGTCGTGTGTACTCGCCATCTGTTATAGATGTTGTTTTTAACCAGTGGAAATAGAGGCCAGTTCTTGGGTTGTGCTACTTGAGCACCACCTGAGAACCAGCTCACTGTCAGCACCGGCACCCATACTGACACAGCAATAGTGAAAAAGAGGTGTATCGGTATTTCTTTCCAAAACGTTTCTCACTCGTTGATACAGATGTAGATTTTTACAGAAGCCATTTTATTTAAGTGACTTTTAAGGAGTGCAACAACAAAGCTGTTCTAGGACTTGAACTGGGAACCTTCAGGTTACAAATCTTGCTGCCAGGTGCATTGAATGATAATCACTGCAGGGGGTTGAGTAGAAGATAGTGCTTAAGGACAGGTTGTTGTCCAGTGGGAGGTCCACCTGTGGGTTGGGAATGCCAAGGCAGAGGTTGATCCTGGGTCCACTCCTTACCCCAGACTGAGTTGTCCCTCCACACCGTTTTTACAGGAGAACCAGAAGCTTCGGGACCAGAATGAAGACCTTAATGGGCAGATTCTTAGCCTGAGCCTACATGAGGCCAAGAACCTCTTTGCGACCCAGACAAAAGCTCAGTCATTGGCTGCTGAGATAGACAATGCCTCTCGGGATGAGGTGAGTGGATGTTCAGGTGGTAGGGTTGAGTGTGTCTAGCTTTAAAAGGCTCATGAAAAGGGGGTGATGTTTTCCTCAATATGTAGTCTCATGTCAAATGTTAATTTTGTGATGCTCTTTGGCAGTTGATGGAAGCCCTGAAGGAGCAGGAGGAGATCAATTTTCGCCTCAGGCAGTACATGGACAAGATTATCTTGGCTATCCTGGACCACAACCCTTCCATCTTGGAAATCAAAGACTAGATTGAACCTGTTTGGGAGGGCCACAATAAGCAGGCACTGCCCCCAACAGGCTGGGAGTATAAACTGCACAGTTGCAGCCACTGGAACCGGAGTCCTTTTGTGTTTACAGAGTTTTGGGACTGTTGAAAATTGTGAATCACAAAAATGTTCATGTTTTTCATGCACTTTTCCCCATTTTTGTTCCATTTGGTTGTCACCACTGCTGTAGTTTTTATGGGAATTTACTGGAAAAGCATTTGGTATGAGTGGATCGTGAGAAGCATTATCTTTGAGTTTAAATATATACTACCTCTGGGTATGTAAGTGGTATGGTAAAAAAGAAAACCTGCCCTGTGCTTAAAAGAAAACACTTTAAACAATGAAAAGATATATAAACATGGTTAATGGTAAACAGTGGTTGTAGACTATGGTCTGCCGGAGGAGGGTTGGAATATGGAGTAGAGCAAGTTCTGAAAGTCAAGTAAGGAGGTAAACTGGAACATGCGTGTGTGTGTTGGCACCAGGGTGAAGCTAAGCAGAGAGCCCAGGTCTGGTGAGATGGGGCTGTAAAGCACTTGGGATATCGGCCACACTGTGGTCACGCTCGTGGGGAGATGCAGGGTGAGATGGGATGGTTCCTGGGCAGGATGAAATATGCAGGGTGGATTACAGGGAGCAGCACAGGAGTACATCAGGGGAAGATGGAGTCTGGTCTGTTAGAGGACTGAAGGTGATCGGTTTCAATAAGTTTTTTTTCAGCCTGTTCTCAGGCTTATGAAGCCATTTAGTGCAACAGAAGGAGGTGGAAAAATGAGTCTCTGCTGTTAGTCATACTAAAAAGGCCCCAAGACATGCAATGGTGCGCATATTCCTTGTGTGATTGGTTATCCTGTGATAACCAATCGACAAAGACCATTCCCTTCTAACTGGTTATTGAACTTGAGGCTGAGTGATTGTAAAGAGGCATGCTTGCTCTGGCTCACTTTGATATATATCTTTTAAATTATTAAGTGTGCATTAATGAAACATCAAGACATGAACAGATCTGGATCCTTTAAGGAGAGAGTATTCTCAGAGTGTTTTGTTTGTTTGGAGCCAGAAGTCAGTCTTGAATGGTTTGGATGTGTCTTTATTAGTCAATTGTTGCTGTTGGCTCCCTTAGTTCAGCACCAAGGATACTGCAAAAGCTCATTCTGCAGTCTGCAGTAATGGATTGTGACTGTGAAGAGTCCTATCTGCTTTGTGAGCCATTCTTGGGTCGTCATGCATCAGTAGTGCTTCTGGGTTTAGGCACGACTGGTGTAACCATGCACAAGCTCTGAGCAGACCTAAGCAAGGGAACATTTGACTCACCCAGAGATAATGCTGGAGGTTTTACTTCTGTGAATGTGAATGCTGGCCGTGAAATCTGAGAAGAGGCATTATGTGATTTATTCCCTGCGCATGAATTTCCTGGGTTCAGTGGGGGGGGACAACCGCTGAGGTTACCAGAATGTCCTGTGAACTGGTGTGGGTGGCAAGACAAAGTAGTTATACATTTACCAGCAGATGAATGTAGAACAGTTGATTTAACTGTATAGAGGGAAGAATTAAGAGATGCAAGTACTTGGGCATACTGTTACAGTACATACATTTAAAAACAGACTTGAATAATAGTTATTTGAGGAAAAAAAAAAGTTTATTTTGTAACAAGTCTTCAATGTGTAATATAAAAGCAGAAAAGAATGTTTATTTTCCCACAGATCTATACATTAAATCTGGAACATGTATAATTATTGTTTTGGTCTTTCTTGTGGTATTGTTCCAGAAGGTTCTGACAGATACATTTATGTGAGAAGGGCAAACCAGCACTCTGTACTCCGGGTTGAATGGGAACAAAGTGTCTGCTTTTGTCTGTTACTCCCCTACACATGGTACTCTCACATGAGGGCCTGTCGGTTCGGCCTTCTGTGAAGACAGATGTGGCTCAGCATTCACCTGTTAGGCAGGTAGGGAAGCTCCGTCCAGACCTGCCATCCTGGAGTTGGGCGCAAGTGGGAATTTGCTGGAATGTAGCAAGACTACATGTCATGGTCAAGGGTCACCAAGTACGGTGATGTGCACCCTGCTGTAGGTAGGCTGTGGTTGGCCTTCCACGTTTGAGTTTGATGGAAGGCGTGAGCTTTCTTGTATGGAAAACTGGACAGGGGGACACAGTGTTCTGGAACGGAAACTTGAAAATGGACTATTTACAGAAAGCTTGTCTGAAACATTTTAAACTTTTCATGTTTGTAGTGGTATCTGGGGAGTGATTACATTTTCTTACCAGAATGTAATCTGGGGGAGAAAATTCTTTGTAGGCTAAGAACTATTATTCTGCAATAAACAAATTTAAAACTCTGTGCTGGCAGGTTGAATAAAGGTCATGTGTGGGTCGGTGCAAATTAGTGTGCTCTAAATGTCACTGAATGTATCACCATTTCACTGTAGTCTCTGAAACGGCTCCCTTGTTTGAATTTTTTTTTTTTTTTTTACTGTGATGAGACATTTTGTGCATCACCGTATTTCAAAAGATGTTTAAGGGTAATAGTTACATTTAATAATCTACTGTGAATCATTGTAGTTTTGCTATGTTGCACAAAACACGTTATTCTGCATGTTCTAGGGCTTTTGTGCCTTCTTAACAAGTGACATTTTCTAATTTTCTGTATCTGGCTGCATAGAGCTTTTTATACGCATTTAGTATGCATTTATAATATGTGTGAACATAATTCATAACTTGTAAATATTGTACATTAAAGTTTCTACTTGTATTCATGTGCCACCCAAAGACTTTTAAAAACATTTTTTTTACTATTTTACTTAGAAAACGGGCAATATGAGAGCATCTTGCGTGCATATACGAGACTCGCAGCAAAATATTTTGATATTACTTGGTTCTAAAACCTTGTAATTTGAGACTTGTTTTCCAAAATGATTTTGTCAGCCCTGTTCGACTTAAGGTATGTTTTTAGTTTTGGCATCAAATAAGTATCCCCCTTTTTGGTTGCGTTTCTGTCTAGCAGACAATACTTTTCCCCGTACCATCAGTAGCTGCAATCTCTGCTTGTCTTCAGTTTGTCCCCGCAAATTTCATCCCACGTCCTTTTGATATAGTAATGGACTTGTCTCATGTCTTCCCCTGAACATTACAAAAACTCTCCAAAGGTGTCTAAATGACGTACAAAATATTAACTGCGATACATGTTATTGCAGTGAAAGGAAATTCTTGGTGGTGGCACTTGAATTCCCTCTTTCTTTCTGCGCCAGTCCAGTGCATTTTCTATTGGTACACCAGTTAATAAATGTGGTTTGCAAACTACCTATATTGATCAAGAGCAGTTCTACGACACTGCCTGCCCTGTTTCTGCGTTTTGGGAAAAACTGGTCACTCGGATGCGCTTTGCATAGAAACGGGAGAAGATAAACTTTACCTTAATACTGTGGAGACGGTAATGCTTGTAGAAGTATTACTGACTGCACACACAAACCAGAGTGCTATTTCTTTGCTAATTTACCGCTATTACTGCACTATTTGACCACTGTCCTTTTATACCAGAGAAATCTTAACTTCTCTGACGCAGTTCTTTATAGTGCTTGTGGCCATACAATTTCATGCTGTTAATAAAATTATCTGCTTTAGCATGACTAAGACGCGTGTAGCCTTCAGTGTTTTATTGTACAAATGTATATAATCAGGCGACTTAAAAACGTTTAATCGATTTGCCTGTTCAAATTTTTACTTTAATTGTAGACCTACGAATATTTTCTTTCCAAATTCTCAGTGCATTTTAATTGAACGTTGGATGCCTCTTAATAAACCTTAATGTATTTTTCACTTCGGAGGTTGTGGATATGTAGTTTCCTTCCACTGCAGAATCGCTTCCATTTCGCTGCAAAGACATCCAGAAATCCGGGAATCTCGTTCGTTGTTCGCGTGCATAACATTGGTAGAAGAGTAAAACGAGACGAACCAGCTCACTTTTAGCAGTAGCCGTTTTTAATCAACGTGGTCCCCAGTGTTTTCACTGAAGCACTCAGGTGAATCGTGTTGCAATGTCAATAACTCATAATTGGTATCATGAGAGGTGTATCTAACACCCATTGTGCTTGACAAGACTTTTCCGTTACTTTATCCGTGTTGTTAAGTTATTCAGGGATTGATTACACATGCTAGGCCCACGCACTGTATTATTTCTAATTGGAAAAACATACATTTCCAAACCAATTCCCGAAACTAAGTCTCCCTCTGCTGGCGGCTTAATGGAATCGTCTTGACTCGTGACCAGTAACTATAGCAACAACGTTCTGACGTTCCAACGATTCCTAGAAAAAAACGTGGCAGGCATTTCGGTAGGTGACTGCACACCGGTTTGGTTTAGGACTGTTAAAACCTCTATATATATTTATAGATAAACATCCCTGGATTCGTAGTTATTTTTTATTTAGTCCTTTAGTTTAATGCTACTGGGAGACTAACTTGCTGAGGCTATTTTTGCATTGCGGTCGTACACTCACTCGGATCATCACAAATGAATTAGCGCGTTGGATGTGTTTCCACATTTCGGTATAATATAGCCGACAGTTAGTCTTGGTATTATAAACGGCTCCCTCTCCAGTGCTGATGTAATTTATTGGGAAACGAAAATCTTCTCAGGCTGCTGCTTGTGATTGACTGTAACCAACACACAGCCATAATATAGTTTAATGTTTTCAGTTAAAATCTACTTGCGAATGTATGCTTTGTGAATGTATGAAGCAATGTATTCGTTCGTTTCATTGTGCATACCGAACCGAAAATGATGTAACTGATATTTTAACTAATTACTCAAATAACTATACAGGTGTGATTCATGATTTGATCGTTAAGTGTAACTTGATGCTTGCCAGTAAAATATGCCGCTGTACAAATGGGTGAAATTTTCATAAGTAATGGGAGCCTCACAGTGCAAAAACTACACCACGTAGTGAGTGTGAAAACCATAGGCCGTAAGGTTTGTCATAAAAATGATCACTATCTTAAGAGAACAACAAAATTGGAAACCATTCCATGACCAGGTGCATTTGCAAGATATTCTCTTAAGCTGGCCTTGGATACAATCGTAAGACAATTACAGTGCTATTTTCTAATGCTTTGGATATATAAGCAGAAAAGGTTCCCTTGTCAACTTTGAACTGCAACCCACTTTTTCACACCCAGACAAGCAGGCCAGGGGCAACGTGATATTGCAGAAGGTGAACCTTCTAAGGGCCTCCATAGGTATGACCCACCCAGTCAGAAAAATAAAGGCCCAGAAGAGGAGGGGGAGAAGGCATCATCACACCTGGAATAATTTAGAAGAGGAAAATTGGGAGGAGGAGATAAAGGATTCCTCATCACCTGGAGAGAAGGAGCGGAGAGAGGAGTCTTCTCCTTATGGTGAGGAGTACTAGAAACGACTTGTTAGATCTGGATGAGCTAAGAGGTTTTTAAACAAAACTGGTCTGCAGATGTCTTGTGAGCATAGTGTGGAAGTGAGCGGCTAAGACCAATGTCCACATTTCTTCATATTCTGAATGTAAAAATGAGTATGAAGACTATTTCCATCTCACTTTCCTGAATTCAATGCCAAGTTTCAGGTCCTTTTAATTATTATGTTTGTCTCCTCATTCATTTACATTAGGGGTTCCCAGCCTTTTGATCCACCAGCGAATCGATCAGAATTTCATAAGTTTAACCCTTTCCTTTTTTTTCCAGATATAAACAGAACTCACAAATGTAAGTGGTAGGGAAAAAATTGAAAATACAACTCTGGAAAGAATTATGAGGCCACCATATTTAAAAAACAAAATCAGCATTTCTTAATCCTGGTTCTGCTGGCAGAAGGCTACACTGAGCCTAGTTTGTATCAGGCTCCTAGAAGCAGGACTAAAGTATGGAAGAAGCCCTTCAATAATGAGAAACTGAGAAACTAAGCTGCAGTTTGCTGTACATATATAAAATTCTAATTATTATTATTCACAGACACATAGAGAAATTAGTTGAACAAAAAATGTGCTGTAGTCTCTTGATTTTTTTCCTGAGCTGTATATGGTTTATTTTTGGAAATTAACCAACTCTTTTGCAAAACCCCCAGCATTCTGCGGCCTGCTGGAATACTGCCCATGAACCAGTACTAGTCCACAAGCCTGCAGTTGGGAACCCCTACCTTACATCTGTCTGCTCTCCTGTTTAGTCAGTGGATTATTGAAATTTGCCGACTGTCGAAGCATTCTAAGTGTCCTTGCTTGCTTCTCTCCTGGTGTCTGCAGATTCTGAGGATGTGTTCCGCCCAGATACTGTGCAGGAAGCCCCCATCCATGTTCAATACTACAGCCTCAAGGAGGGGATTTATATCCCTGCTGTGCACCATGTAGCCCCAGTGAAGAGGGTCTGCCAGCGGACCCATGTAGTGGTAGGCCAGTTTGCAGATGCTTAGGAATAAGACGGCATATGCATTCTTTTCCCTCACCACCATTAGCATCAATCTAACATTTCAAAGTTTTAAATCATAGTTTTTGATTTCTTCTCAAATTATTCTTTGAAGATTATAGAATTACTGGAAACAAGCTGGAAATGAGACGATTTAGTTGAGTTTCTCATTGGTACGGTTTTGTTGTATGTTTTAACTATTTAGAAAGGCTTAGGTGTTGAAATAAGCAAATGAAGGCAGTTGAGTTAAGGAAGCAGACATGTGTTGTGTTCTTTCTTTTTCCTTATGGATTGGGGTTGTGCCCTAAACAGCCATGATGACTTCCTCAGAGGGTTGTGGTCTGTGTTGAGTAGTAGCAAAGTCCACAGTCCTGCTTTTCCATTGTTGTCTTTTCAGTGAAAATGTATGTGGAATTAAACTAAACGCTTGCTGGGGTTCTGTGTCTGATTATGTTGAGTTTGTGCGATTTACTGTGCAGGGATGCTTGAGTGTCTTTTGCTAGGTAGAGTCCTTCCACTAGATGGGAGTGCAAAGTAATCCCCTCACATCCAACAGTCATTCTGTATTCCATCTGTAAAGCAAATCCATATTATTCACATACAGGGGTTACCCACCAAATCATGCACCACCTAGGGAAAGGATCTGTATTCCTTTAATCTTATGCTTATGTGTTTAACTTTAGAGAGTGTCATCTTACATTTATTATTCCTTGTAATAAATGCACTTGAATTTAGCATCAAAAAATGAAGCTGGGTGACAAAGAAACAACATTATAAGATGGCAACTAATATCACCACGTTTGCCGTTTTACTTTAGAACACTTATAACTTAACAGGTAGGTGTCATTTCTTAATATGTGAAGACAATATACATTGTCATTAACGTGGTGCCCATTGCCAGTCTTGTATTTGTGTGGTGCATTTGCTTAGGAAATAATGGAGATGTGGTGTACACATGGTATAGAGGAAAACATGCTTTTGTTGTACCTGGTGGTTTTTACCCTGTGGTTCTGGACCATCAGAGGAAACAAGGCTTTCGCCACAGTCTGTTCATAGAAGTGCGAGTGCGACCAACCCAGTAATGATACTCTGTGTTCTGGAATTCACAGTAGCTGCCAGAGGCCTGGTGCCAAGAGCTTGTGGTTGGCGTCTCAGTAAAAAACCCTTGCATTCTCAGAGAGCGAGATTTAGATCAGAGTTGTTTAGAGAATAGGAAGCCACTTTTGGAATTCTGTCCTCTGATTTCCTCTGGCTGGTGGACATTGGATGGATCATTGGTATTTCCGAGTAGCACCCAGCTCCAGCGTGAAACAGGCTGGCCTAGAGATCATGGGGTACTGGATGCAGTGGAGTAAAAGGCTTCAATGTCTTTTGAACTTTGCTGAACCTGAGACCAGGGCCCTGTATTACGAAGCAGGGTTACTGGCTTATCAGGGTAACTTGTTGGATTTAAGGTAGTCCGGGCAAAATGTAAGTGAACGAATATGAAGTCCATTTAAACTGTGGTACTGTACCTTAAATCCGACAAGTTACTCCGATAAGCCAGTAACCCCACTTCATAGTACAGACCACAGACCAGTATTTCATATGAAATGTCAGTATATTTTTACTTCGCTTTGTTAGATTCGTAAAAACTCAGTCATTATAGAAACATGACAGAAGTGTATATATCTTCAGGCGTCTGCTTGTTGACGTGGGTTTCCTGTACATACTATGGTTTCCCGTAACAGTCTGAAGAAATAGTTGAATGGCTGTTTCTAAATTGCTCATAGTGTGTGAGTGTGAACCCTACAAAAGACTAGCGTCTTGTCGAGGCTGTTCCACTGCCTCTTGTCCTGTGCTTCCTGGTACAGGTTTATAACAGCCCTGTACTAAATAAGCA